TGGAGTGAGGGGAAAACGGGGATCCAGACGGGGTGAGGGGAAATGGGAATCGAAATGGGGTGAGGGGAAAACGGGGATCCAGACGGGGTGAGGGAAAACGGGGATCGAAACAGGGTGAGGGTAAAACAGGAATTGAAACGGGGTGAGGATAAAACAGGAATTGAAACAAGTTGAGGATAAAATGGGAATCGAAACAGGGTGAGGGTAAAACAGGAATCCAAACGGGGTGAGGGTAAAACGGGAGTTGAAACGGGGTGAGGGTAAAACAGGAATCCAAACAGGGTGAGGGTAAAACGGGGATCCAAACGGGGTGAGGGTAAAATGGGCATCGAAATGGGGTGAGGATAAAACGGGAATCCAAACGGGGTGAGGATAAAACAGGAATCCAAACGGGGTGAGGGTAAAACGGGAATCAAAACGGGGTGAGGGTAAAACAGGAATTGGGCTTTTGAGGTCACAGAATCACGGAATCGGCCGCCTCTGAGATGGTGGAGTCCGACCCTTGTGCCAACCCCACCCCGGTTCCCAGAGCGTGGCACTGATGCCACGTCCAGTCTCACCTTAAACAGCTGTCTCAGCTGATGTGTGTCTGTAATGTCTGCAAGGGGGATTCTAATCCTGATCCTCAGCTATGATATTCATATCAACCAGGGTCTCCTCCTAGGCCCTGTCATGTCATCTTTACACTTACAACAGCGCGTGAGAATTTCAGCCATTCCCTTCCATGCCTGTTCTTCCTAAATGGCTGCCATGTACCAGTGACACTACCTACTCCTCAGTGTGGGATGGCATCTATGACAACAGAGGACACAGGTGACTCTGCCACCTCCCTGGGCAGCCCATTCCAAAGCCCAGTCACCCTTTCTGTGAAGAACTTCTTCCTAAAGTCCACCCTAAACGTCCCCTGGTGGAGCTCAAGGCTGTGCCCTCTTGTCCTGTTGCCCTGGAGAAGAGATCAACCCCCACCTGGCTCCCCCCTCCTGTCAGGAGGTTACTGAATCAAATCACTGGCAGCTCACAAAGTATTAACAAGAACAATTAACAAGTGTTGGCAGTTATTTAGTGTTTTGGAGTTATATTTATAAACTGAACTCAGCCTGTAACCAATACAACTGGTGCTGCACAGACACCCCAACAATCCCTGAGGGTGTTGTCCAAACGCTCCTGGAGCTCTGGCAGCCTTGGGGCTGTGCCCACTGCCCTGGGGAGCCTGGTCAGTGCCCAACCACCTTTTGGGGGAAGAACCTTTTCCCAAAATCCAGCCTAAGCCCCCCCTGACACAGCTCCAGCCATTCCCTGGGTGCTGTCCCTGCTCACACAGAGCAGAGACCGGAGCTGCCCCTCGGGAGGAAGCTGCGGACCCTCAGTCTTCTCTTCTCCAGCTGAACAAACCAAGTGCCCTCACCCTCAGCTTCCCCTCAAGGCCCTTCCCCATCCTTGGGTCCCTCCTTTGGACACTCTCCAACAGCTTTAGATCCATCTTATCTCGTGGCACCCAGAACTGCCCCCAGAGCTCGAGGTGAGGCCGGACCGGCACAGACCGAAAACCTCGCTGAGTTTGCAGGATGTATGATCCCAAACAGGGAGCAGGCACAGCAAATTCCCTCCATTCCCATGCTAAAGGAAAGCCACAGTGGCTTTTCCATGAGCCAGCCCCCTCCTGCCCTGCCCTGTCCTTGCTGCAGGGACAGCACGTGGCCCCGAGGAGCCGAATCCAGCCCCCCAGGCAGCAGGTCCAGCGGGTATTTCGGGACACCCGAAGGAGCTGTGGGGGAAGCCTGAGGCCACTGTGCTCAAGCATTTGTCCCGGGATCAGGTTTCCCAGGGCTCCTCCCAGGCCTCTTTCCAAGCTGTGGAACAACCTCCAAAGGCCCAGCAGTTTTGCTGGATAGTCTCACATTTCCTCCTCCAGCACCAACACCATCGATCCCCCCGCCAGCGGCTGAGGCTGGAGGAGCTTCCCCAGAGGCTGCTGTGACTTTGCATTTTCCAATGGGCTGAAGGAGAAGGAGCTGGCACAGCCAGGAGCCGTCCCTGCCTCCATCCAAGCAGCTTTTCCCGGGATTTGGCAGAGCTCCTCACACTAGTGTAGCCACAAGGTGACACGGAGGCTCAGCCACGTGAAGTGCTCCGCTCAGAGCTCGCTGTGCTGGCTCAGGGAGCTCTCTTGGAAAGGAGCTGGGATTTAGTCAGGGAGGATTTTTCTGGTAGATGTTTTGCAAAGTGTTTTTTAAGAAAAAAAAAAAAACCTAACTATAGTGGCAGGATTTCTCTGTCAAATCACTTGAGCTATTAAATCTTTCCTAAAATCACTAGATGGTAAAAAGGGCAGAGTGAGCTCATGGCTCAGCTGATCTTTGGAATAAGAATTCCTCCCGAGTATTTTCCTACCAGGAAAGCCAAAATTAAGGGCCACATTTTTAGGTTTCTTCCTCCAAGAAGTCATTCTTGTAAAAGAATAAATCATCAAGCCCACACCCCTTCTCAGAACTCCACCGAGACAAGGGGGTGCAACAAAATCACAACTCCTTGAGCCCCCAGCCCAAGACAGACTCTGCAAAGACACTGATCTGCCTGGGCCAAAGCCTTGCCCTTGTACACAGCACAGAAAACTTGGAGCAGAGGGTGGAACCGAGCCAATTCCTGCCAGGAATTCCCCCTGGCTGTCACCCCAGGGAGCCCCAAACGTGTCCTGTCAGTCTGGGGAGGACGAGCCCCAGCTCGGGGTGGAACTCAGGGAGGCTCAGAACTGCTGCCAATCCCTGCTGGGTTTTATCAAAGCTCAAAAGAAGGAAAGAGAAATCACTGGAATTGCACATTGCTTGGAAAATGCCAATTGAAGGAGTTCCAGTGATGTTGGATCCAACCCAAAGCAGTGCAGCTCGGGGGCAGAACCGGGCAGAGCCACAGCCCAGCACCAGAATCCACATGGAAACTCCTGGCTCTGCCCTCAGTGCTCACAGGGGGATTGTCACGGATTAATTAACCACTTCTTTAATTAATGGCTCTTACCTTCACTTCTGCAGCCATTTTATCATTTGCAAATCCATCCACTGTGAGCTGAAGGGGAAAAAAAAACCAGCGTGAGCCAAGGGAGAGCCTCCAGCACTTCCCACAGGACAGTTTGGGTCTGGCTCCTTCCTCAGCCCTGCACGTACCTTTATTAGTCTGGATATCAAGAATCCCCCTTGGTATCGGTTATAAAGTTCCTCCCAGTTGTCCCTTACAAATTTCCAAGCAGCTTTCCTGCCCTGCTTGCTGCCTCCAGCAACTCCTCCGATCACCGACACCGTGTCCTGGGGACGTACCTCTTCCTGGGGATGGGAAAAAACAAGGAATATTCCACACTGCTCCAACAAATCCAGCACGTTGGCTTTGTGCTTTTCCCTGCCTTGTGCATTTCTACACCTCAAGCTGGCAATAAAAGCTTTTTTTTTTTTTCCCCCCCTAAAAATTTTAAGGTACAACTCAAATCTGTTAATTAAAAAAAAAAAAAATCCCTAAGAAGAGTTTTAAGATGCAATTCAAAGACTTAATAATTAAGATAATTTCTCCTGGTTTAACACATTTTATCCTCACACTGCTGTACCCCCAACTGCTCTGAACACACTTGCCACTCCCACAATGTAAGGGTTATACAGTACCCTGAAGGAATACCCTAATATTAGGATTATTATTATAATTATTGTGATTATCCTACTGTCCAGCAGCTTTCCCAAGAACTTACTGAAAGTGCAAAGGTGAGAACTTTTTGAATCAGTTCTGGCTGAGAGATGGCTCCGAGAACACGTTCAATTCTGTTCTTCTCCTCCTGCATGTCTGCCTGCTTGTGGAGCTTCAGGGCCAAAGGGAAGAGAGTTAAAATATAAAATAAAAAAGGCTGACTTCTCACCTAATGGACTCCCTGGGTATGGCAGAGCTGCTAATTAATCTTCCAGCCCAATAGGTGACAAATTGACCTGGCTGGGGACTCACCCTGCAGTTATTCCCCCACCACAGACTCATCCCGTGTCCACGAGCACAAATTAAATTGGTAATAAACTGATTTGCATCGCTGTTTATGTAAAGGTCAAGTAGTTTAGAAGGTCAAGTGTCCCTCCAGCAGGGAGGAAGGATCCCAAAAGGAGTGCTGGGACACTCCACTAGGTGGCAATTTGACACCAGGCAGGGAGCAGGGGCTGAGCCTGGGGATGGATAAAACACATCCCAGAGGAGCTTTTGGGGCGAGATGTTGAGTCTGGGTTTGAGTGGGAACCCACCTTCAGCATGGTGTCCAAAGTAGAGCTGTCCCCGTGCTTCAGCACCGTCACATAGACCTAGGAGAGAGCAAAAAACCCCCAGGAATGCCTTTGGAACTGCCAGGAATGGGACAGTTTGTGCACACTGGGGTCAGAATTCACCCCAGGGAACGCGCCCAGCACTGACCCCTGTGTGTGTTTTAAAACTGGATTGCAGAGATGCTCCAACTCCTTCACTTTTTCCCCCCTCAACCTCAGCACAATTTTGGCAATTCCAACCACAGCAAAACCCCGGGATGGCAGATCCAGGGACATTTCATCCTCCCCAGGACCATCTCCTTCGGGAGCTGATCCAAGCTTCGGACTGAGCCGAGCTCATAGAATCATAGAACAGATTGGGTTGGAAAAGACCTCCAAGATCATCAAGTCCAACCCCTGATCCAACTCCAGTTACTATATCATGGCACTAAGGGCCACGTCCAATCTCTTTTTAAAAACCTCCAGGGGGGATGGTGAATCCACCACCTCTCTGGGTAGGCCGTTCCAATGCCTGATAACCCTCTCTGTAAAGAATTTCTTCCTAACATCCAACCTAAACCTCCCCTGGCAGAGCTTGAGCCCATGTCCCCTTGTCCTATTGTTGGTTGCCTGGGAGAAGAGACCAACCCCCACCTGGCTATAACCTCCCTTCAGGGAGTTGAAGAGAGTGATGAGGTGGCCTCTAAACCTTCTCTTCTCCAGACTGAACAACCCCAGCTCCCTCAGCCTCTCCTCATAGGACCAGCTCCCACCACCTCCACCCAAACCAGTTGGTCTCACCCCTCCACACTGGTTTTCCTCTAATTCCCTATTTTTGGGAGTGGGGACAGCGTTTTGGGGCAGCAGTAACCTACAGGACTCCTCAGGTCAGCTGACAGGATGTGTTTTCCTTCCACGTGGTCCTTAAACCGGCGTCGGGCCTCTTCTAACGTTGCCTTGTGCCCAGCTTTTCCCAGTTTTCCCAAAACCAGACCCCTCAGAAGGGCATCTAAGTGACCTAAGAGTGAGGAAGAGGGGAAAAAAAAATGTAATTATTGGGACACACAATGGAGCCCAGGCCTTTCCTTCCTGGTGGGAGGAATATCTTGATTTTTGGTGGGGAATACATTGATTTTTTTTTCACAAAAAGGAGAAAATTCCAGCCCAAACACAACCTGTGAGTCTAAAACCTGAGTTGTGGCAGTGATTTTAAACATTTTACCTACACCAGGACTGACCAGGACAGGTAAACATGCACACAGCTTTCCATCCTTGTAATCCAAGGATTTTCCTGCACTTCAGCAGGTGGAAAGTTAAAAAGAGAATTTTTACCAGGTACAGAAAGGTTTTACCCCTTTTAACTTGTGAATAACAGAAGGTTCTTTAGGGGGTTTTGTGGCTGGTTTTAAATATAAAAATACCCCTTGAATGCCTCCTTTTCCTCCCTTCTCTCCCCTTTCCCAAATTCTTGATGGTTCATTTAGAGTTTTCCAAAATCACCACTGGATTTCACAGAGGTTTCCCCCAAAATCTTGAATTACTGACACACAAGATTTCCAAAACCACCACTGGATTTCACAGA